ATCAATGGTAAGATAACAATGTCAAAGGAAATAGGAAATAAACATGAAAGACTTTTGAGTAGGTAGATTGTTCCTAGTTGCTTGCTCAATTTCCAAACCAAATACATCCTTGTTATTTTTAAAACAAACACCAACACTTTCAAAACACCTTTAAAACTTGAAAACATTTTCAAAAGATCAACACTTTGTATACATTCTTACGAACGATAATCATTACAAAGTTTGCCTAAACGATGGCGCCTTTTCAAAATACTTTCAAAAACTACACAAAGAACAATTTCAAACAAAAGCAAGTGATCTAGCAAGTAACTAAGAGCCCATGGAAAACCATGGATGAAAATGGTGCTAATACCTTCCTTTTTCATAATCTACTCCCCGAACTCAAGAAATAATCTCAAAGGTCTTTCCTGTGCTTTTCCACCTTTCCTTTTGGATAAAAGAAAAGTCGATGGCGACTCTTGCTAACCGCAACATTTGCGATCAAACGGAAAACACCCAAGTCAGTTCTCCCACCGTATCACAGATATGTATCCAGCTTTTCTTGGTCCCAAATGAAACCATGAGTAGGGTGTAGGGTTAGAAACTTGATCGCATCAGGATGTGCCTTGAACATTGCATCTTTAGGATCACGCGGAGGTATAGTAGCTAAGGCTTTATCAAAATTCTTGTTGTTGACCATATCCACATCTCCACAATCCCATCTTGGCGCCATATGGATAAGCGTTGATGAAGAGTCGATGGTACTTCCCTAATGCCATGTATCCGCTCACGTCCTAGGAACAGATTATAGTTTGCTTTAGATGCAATCACCATAAACAATGTTGGCCTCGAATTCGATCCAACTGACAAATTTACTTGAATCACACCTAGTATGTGACTTGTTTTTCCTTCATAGTTCGACAAAACCATGTTATGTGGCTTAAGGTCAGTGTCGAACTTCCCAATCCTTTTTAGCAATGATTGTGCCATCAAGTTCACAGCAGCAGCACCATCAACGAACACTTTGTTCACCGGGAAACCATCAACTTTAGCCATTATAAACAAATGCTTGAGATGGTACATCATATCAGATGTAGGCTTCTCAAACATCGCCTGTTGTTCTTCGGCCACCCCATTATTTATGACATAGTAGCATAGAGGTTTATGGCTTACTGATTCTTCGCACGTAGTCTCCTCTTCTTTCCCAGATGCCTCTGACACGAAACCATACTCATAAGGAAGGAATGACACACTATTACAATGTATAATCAAACCACCATCTGAACTATCTTCAAAGTCGTCAGATAGTTCATTGTTCATGTTGTCAGCACCAGGTTTCAACTTTTGTTGGCGATACACACACAACCGGACTGGATAACCTCTCTTTTGCTAGTCGACGATGCACTCCCTTCTAAACACTCTCACCCTTTGATGGAGAAACTTTTAATGTCGCTTCTCTTGCAGCTTTCTTGTTTCTCTTAAACCTTTTCCACTAAGTCTTTGTCGTAGGATTTTTCCCTTTGTATGTGGGAGGAATATGATACCTCTTTGAAGTGATCCCAGCTTCAGCAAATTAGAAATAATTATATCCCTTCTCAATCATTTCCCATTTATGACTCGAACCTGAATCCTTTTTTACCATCTTCCAATTCTGGTTTTCCCCCTTGGATAGAAAGGACGAATCCAATTATTGTTAGGAACATCAGCCGGTGGTACAAAAGTCCTTTGATACAGAAAACGAGGCTTTCCTTGAGGCACTTGGACATTGTATTCCTCTTTCGCATGGTCGAACACCACCTTTAGATTCTTCTCTTGAGGGAGTTTATTCTCCAATACCTCAATTTTCTTCGCAAAATTTTCATCATAGAGTATGTTGTAATTTGGGCATAACATAACCTAGAATTACCTAGCTTGCACCTGTTCAAAAAATTCGCCAACTCCTCTTCAGGTTTGGGAAAAACAACCTTCATTAACTCAGCAACTGTTTCTTCAGACAATTCTTCATTTTTAGTATCACAATCCATTTTCTCCTTGTCGTCTTGGTTAACTTCATGCTCTTCAGCAATATCAATCATCTTCACTTCTTGTGGCTTAGACAGGTTGCCATTTCCACTTTTGAGACCTTCAATAGTCTTGACTATTGTAGCTATCATTGGATCAACGGTCACAACTTGTTCACTCTCAAAACCATTAGTGGTCTTAATTGTCAATGTTGCGAGTGAATTGATAATGCCCGCTTGTTCGCCTTTGAGACCATCATTAGCCTCAATCATCAGCACTTCCAATGGTTCGACAAAGTGCGCATCAACAACATGCAACGGGTCTGAGTCGACCTTCATGGAGCTTTTTGGTTTCTCACTAAATTTCAATCGACCATCTTTTAGAGCTTTCTGAATCAAATCCCCGAAAATAAAACATTGAGAAGTGTTATGACCCAAAAAAATTATGATACTTGCAAAAATCTTTTTTGTTTATGCTCTAATGGTGGATTTTTACTTCCTGGAGGCACTATAATCTGACCATCTGAAACTAAAACATCAAATATTTCATCACATTTTGACACATCAAAAGTATATGTTTTAGTACTAGACGCATCATTTTTTGGTTCTTCGATTGTCTTTCCTTTTGACGGTCTTATAGGTTTACATGCATACGGAGGCCCGGTTTTCAATTCAGCCAAATTAACTTCTCTTTCTTCCATGTATTCATCCTCAGACTCTAAGGAATAATCTTATGTGTCTACATAGCAATTTTGCATTTTGTATGGTCCTTTTACACCCTAGCTTTCTCTGTCTTTAAATGTTAGATATATCGAACTTTATTAGCTAGTTGGGACATATCTGTAATAGATTGGGGATCAAACTTTTTTCTAATAGAATAATCTAACCCTCCAGCAGCCATTTAGACCAGCTCATGTTCAGGAACTCTAGTAAAGCATTTAGACTTTAGGACCCTAAACCTATTTAAATAATTTTCTATTGACTCAGACGACCTCCTTTTGATTGAGGATAACTCTTTCAAACTTATCTTAGGCTGACCAGCATAAAATTGCTCATGAAATATACCCTCAAATTGTTCCCAAGTGCGTATGGAGTTTGGAGTCAATGTCGTAAACCATGTAAAAGCATTTTTTGTCAATGAATTAGAAAAATATCTTAATTCTAAACCCTCATCGTTGGAGATATAGCCAACTTCTGTTTCGTACCTAGCAATATGTTTTATGGTCGACTCATTGGCATCACCAGCAAACTTGGTAAATTTAGGTACCTTACATCCCCTAGGTAATTCTGCCTGTCGAATGTAATCAGGAAAGGGCGACGAGTAATTGGGCCTCTGGAGGCTAATATTTACTCCAGATTATGTTAATACTTCTTCTACCACATTCACTATGTTGTTACGCCCAGTGGTGGCATTTCTTAGTACTCGATCAACATCTTGGTTTCTTCTAACTACGATTGACCTAGGTTTGTATTGTTCAACAAATTCTTCCTCTTCATAAGTGGGTGCTTCCACTCTTCGAGGTCTAAAAGGACGCTCATTGTTTCCCCCCTCAAATTCTTCAAAAACTCTCAACAGCCTGTGGCGCATTTGAGTTGGTTGGACCTTTAATTAGTCAATCAATCTACCTATTTGGTCAACTACGGGATTGAGGGTGACTCCCATTTGTTGAGTTAAGACGTTTACTAACTCTAAATTACTCTCATCCATTTGTTTCCTTAAAGCCAAAACAGAAGTAGTATTCAAAGATGGTGTCGACTGCGGAACATGACTAACACCATCTGGTCGACCACTTGGAACATAACTGTCTTGATTTCCAGTGGCCACTGTGTTTTCTATATATGTGGTTGGATTCTGCTGTAACCCAACCATCATGGAATAAGGCATACCATATTGATAAGGGACAAATGATGACCCTGGACCCCCTGGAAATAGTGGTCGATTTGGGTCAAATAGAGATATTCCATGTCTAGGTTCTGTCATTGTGATTGTTGTCCCTGAACCATGAACATCGGTCGATCTTACGGGAGATAAAACTGTCGCACTTTGGGTTGTGGTACTTACTGGTATGACATCCATATTTTGTGTAGAAATATGTGTATGTGTCGTGTTTGTGTCAGAGCGTGGCATTTTAGACTTGGACAAAAGTTTACCACTTCTCAAATTCATACACACACTAACTATAAGAAACTTTGTAAAACTACACACAAAATACGAAATTATTAGCATTGTCCCACTGGGCGTACCAATTTGTTTACCTCTCGTTTTAGTAAACAACGCTGGTCTCTTAACAGAAAGTTTACTGGCGAGATCGACCAGGGAATCTCAGTACAATGCTTCAGTTTTTGAGTGTTTACATAAAGTATGTTCAAAAAGGTTTGTTTGACTAAGGCGAAATGAATTTAAAAGCAATAAAGCAGGAATTGTAAAATAAAACAAAGATGTTTTAAACTGTAAAAATAGATGACATAACATCAAAATAGTTGATAATTGGTTGATTCAAACATGCATCGCCCTTGCTTGACTCATTTCGTTCGTTCACTTGGGTACTCTGAGTGACTAGCGTGTAGGAACGTGAAAATTTAAACCTCTTGCACTATGCACTAAGTACTTTATTTATAATACATGAAAATAACTACTTTTCAGCAGGCTTCGCTTCTTTATGAGCCACATATCTCTTGTAACTTCCCTCCATGAATCCACGTTCTTCATCCCTGCTATCGAACTCACGTTCTCCATTCCTACTATTGAACCCATGTTCTCCATTCACAACGCTTTACTTTACTAGTTATGCCCTCTTTTGGGCTTTTTAACACTCCTGGGCCCAATCTATTCCTCATGAGGCCTCTTTTTTGATCGACTGCGTCCACAAACCCAAATTGACCTTTTATGAAACCTCTTTCGATCGACTATTTCTGTGGTTGATTTCCTATAATTCAAAGTCTTCAAAGAACTTTTTTGTTTTTGGTTGGATTTTAACCCTTTATGAAAATCCTAACTAACAGATACACATGAAGAAAGCTTCACATCTTAGTTTCTCCCTTCTTCACAAGATCCTTTAATTGCTTTCTTCCTTGGAGCATTCGCAGGCCAGAGGTATTGGGTGATGAAACAATAATCACCTAGAAAAAGGATAAAAACATTTAGCTGAGCAGAATATCAAGCACTTATTTCAAAATATTGCATTTACCCTCATGAAACTTGATACGGAGAGAAACGACAAGTAGTAACAGTGGGTTAGCAAAGGAGTAACATTGGGTTACTCATGAATATAAAAATCATTTTGTTCAAAATGGATCTGAATAGAAATAAATTTGTTACTCATGAATATCTAAAAATCAATCAATTTACTACATATGACTCTTGAATAGTTCCAAAATAAATTACATGTTTAGAAGGAAAATTTCAGTTAGAAAATCTCACCTTTGAAACCAAGTTACTTAATGGATTTCTCACATTGACTATATTCTAACAGTAGCAATTTTCCCTGGTCATCGTAACTGGCCAACATGCGCTTTGGAGCTACTTCCCATGCCGATGCTTCATTTTTTTCACATTGAAATCCTAAAATCAGTATATATGTATGGAGAAGAAATCCTAAAATATGTACATATAAAATACCAAAAATATATGCACAAAATATGTGCAGAAAGTTTGGAGCTTTACGATTGATCTACCACCGCAAAATCGCACACTGCTGTGAAATCACCGAAAATTTCAAATCTGTCGCCATCAATTATTCGCTTGAAACAAAACCACAACCCACAAACAGAACTCTATCTTCTTCACTTGAAATCAAATCGACAACCCAAAATAAAATCTGCATATTTTTGTTTGAAATCGAAACAACATCAACAGGATATGCGTAGTTTCTTACCGGTGACAATTTTTATTACTATTGATCACTGATGAACACATTAATCCTGCTCTCATCACCATTCCATTTTGATATTTTTAAATAACATAGAAATTAATATATTATATCTACATAGAAAGTTTATGTTTGCAGATCTAAAAAATAAATAAATAAATGATCCAGATCAAAATCATTAGAAGGATTAGAGAGATAAAGAAATATTTACACTTGGGTTGCTTGTGTTAAATTGTAATTCATAGTGTCAAAGAAGATTTGATTTAAATAGATTTGATTTAAGTACAGAATAGATTTGATTTAAGTCCAGAATAGATTTGATTTGATTTAATTTAGTAACAAAAAGATATTTTGGGTTTTGGCCTTATGGTGTAAGCTCAGTTATAAATAGAGGGAGTAATCATATTTTTAAAAGTAAGTCAAGTAAGTCAATTCATTGTAATCACAGAATTTGCAGTTGCAAGTGATTAAAAAAGTTTTCCACAGTTTGTGGGCAGAGAGAAACTCTGCAAAAATATTTGTTTTGTCTTCTTTTCTTTGTTTGTCTCATAATTAAATTGTCATTGTGGTAGAAATTCATCATAGAATTTGGTGGATTTCCAACATCTGGTATCAAGAGCTTTTGTTTCGATTCAAGGGAAGTGTCAATCAAGAACGATTGAAGAATTCGCGATGACAAGTTATGGGAATGCAAACTATTCAGCAACGCTACCAATTCTGAAAGTTGACAACTATGAGAATTAGTGCAAACAGATGAAAGTCTTATTCATATGTCAAGGTCTTTGGGACCTTGTAAAAGATGGAGTCAAAGCGCTTGGTGAAAACGCTTCAGAAGAAGAAAAGAAGAAATACACAGAATCTGAGAAGCTGAGTTATAAAGCATTATTTATAATTCATCAATGTGTCAGCCCAGACAATTTCGAAAAGGTTAGTGATTCAGAATCTGCAAAAGAAGCTTGGGAGATCCTTGAGAAGTCTTTTGGAGGCGCTGAGAAGGTGAAAGAAGTGAGGTTACAAACTCACAAAAGGACCTATGAACTGCTTCAGATGGAAGACAGTGAAAATATATCTGATTTCTTCACTAGAGTTACAAAACTAGTAAATCAAATCAAGATATGTGGAGAAGCGTTAACAACAAGAGCTGTTGTGTCGAAGATCTTGAGATCTTTAGCTCCTAAGTTCGACCACATAGTGGTGGCGATAGAAGAGGGGAAAGACTTGTCCAAATTGACAAAGGAAGAGCTTCAAGGGACGCTTGAATCTCATGAACAAAGAATGAACGAAAGAGCTGCAGGAAAATCGAAGAGTGATGTGGCCTTGCGGGCACATTCAGCAAAAGAGACCAAAGGCAAAGGAAAGTGTTTCGACAGAGGTAGAGGTGGCTACAACAAATCGAATGGTAGAGGAAACCAAATCGAAGGAGATATGTCGAATCAAAGAAGACCATACCAAGGCAACCAAAGAGGTGGTGTTGCAAATAGAGGAAGAGGTGGTGGTCGAAAACCTGATAAGAGTCACATTCAATGTTACAATTGTCAGAAATATGGACACTATTCGAGTGATTGTCCAGAAAAACGAAAGAATCAAGAAAGTGATGCAAAGCTTGCAAAACATGAAGAAGAAGAGATGATGCTGATGGTCACAACAAGAGATGAAGATAGATTCAAGGACCAATGGTACTTGGATTCAGGATGTTCATCACATATGTCTGGAAGAAAAGACTGGTTTGTCCATATAAAGCCCTCAAAGAAAAATATGGTAAAATTTGCAAATGACAATACCCTGGCAGCTGAAGGTATTGGTGATGTTATGATTATGAGGAAAGATGGCAAAAGGTCAGTAATCTGCAATGTGTTGTACATACCAGGCATGAAGAGCAATTTTCTCAGTATAGGGCAGTTGGTCGAAAAGAATTATAAAGTGTCAATCGAAGATAAGTTGATGAGAGTCATTGATGCAAATGGGAGAGTAGTCTTGAAGGCTCCTATGTCTCAGAATCGAACCTTCAAGATTGAACTAAATGTGATGGAGCACAAGTGCCTTTCGACTGCAGCTAGCAGAGATGAATGTATATGGAATTATAGACTAGATCATCTCAACTTCAGAGACATCAGAGATTTGAAGAGAAGAAATATGGTTTCAGGATTGCCAGAAATTGACATTCCAAACGAGGTATGTGAGGAATGTGTGCAGGCGAAGCAACACAAGAATAGCTTCAGCAAGGATGCAGTAAGCAGATCGAAGGCTAGTCTTGAAGTCATATACTCTGATGTATATGGACCAATCCAGGTGGATTCGATGGGAGGTAACAAATACTTTGTTACATTCATAGATGATTTCAGTCGAAAGCTATGGACTTACCTGATCAAGAAGAAAAATGAAGTGATCGAAGTATTTACCAGGTTTAAGCCTATGGTCGAAAGACAAAGTGGTCGAAAGCTCAAAGTTTTGAGAACTGATGGTGGTGGAGAATATGTGTCGAAAGACTTCGACAGATTATGTGAAAAGGAAGGGATTGTGCATGAGGTGGTGCCACCCTATACTCCACAACAAAATGGAATTGCAGAAAGGAAAAATCGAACCATCATGAATATGGTGAGAAGTATGTTGAAAGGAAAGAGTTTACCTAAAGAGTTTTGGGGTGAAGCTGTTTCGACTGCAACATACATTTTGAACAGATGTCCTACAAAGAAGCTAGAAGGAATTACTCCAGAAGAATGTTGGTCTGGTGTGAAGCCTAGCGTGAGTCATCTGAAGGTATTTGAATCTATTGCACATAGACATGTGCCAGATTAGTTGAGAAGAAAACTTGATGACAAGTCAAGTCAAATGATCCTAGTTGGATATCATTCGACAGGAGGCTACAAGTTGTTCGATCCAGAGAACAAGAAGATTGTGATCAGCAGGGACGTGATCATAGATGAGTTTAAAGAATGGAATTGGACTGTAAATTTCAAGAAAGATTCAGTGGGAATCCTATTCGAAGAGCCAGAAACTCAAGTCGAAAGAGAAGTTCGACAAGAGGAACCAGCAGATATACCAAGTACAAGCAGACCTCAAAGAACAAGACACATGCCTGCAAGATTGAAAGATTGTGTGATTACATCAGATGATGTAATAGATAATGAAGGTGAGCTGGTACATTATGCTTTCTATGCAGATGTCGAACTTGTTAATGCAGCTGAAGCATTAAAAGATTCGAAGTGGGTGAAAGCAATGAACAAAGAAGTAAAGTCTATCGAAGACAACAACACTTGGTCACTTGTCGAATTGCCTCAAGGCAAGAAGGAAATTGATGTCAAGTGGGTATACAAAGTGAAAACGAATTCGAAAGGTGAAGTAACTCGACACAAAGCAAGACTTGTGGCGAAAGGATTTCTACAGAAAGAAGGAATAGACTTCGACGAAGTTTTTGCACCTGTTGCTAGGATCGAAACAATCAGGTTGGTTGTTGGTCTAGCAGAAATAAACAGTTGGCACATATGTCAGATGGACGTGAAGTGTGCATTCCTAAATGGACCCTTAGATGAAGAAGTCTATGTTAAACAACCAGTTGGGTGTGTGAAACATGACGAAGAAAGAAAGGTGTACATGCTACATAAAGCCCTGTATGGATTGAAACAAGCTCCAAGGGCTTGGAATAAGAAAATTGATAGTTTTCTAAGGGAGAAGGAATTTGTGAAGTGCACAACTGAACATAGAGTATATGTAAGAAGAAGCAAGAGTAAATTGCTTATACTATGTCTCTATGTAGATGATTTGTTGATAACAGGTAGCTGTAAAAGTGAGATCGAAGACTTCAAAGGTGATCTCAGCAAGGAATTCGAAATATCTGATTTGGGTGAGATTTCATATTTCCTTGGTATCGAATTCTACAAGAGCAGTAGAGGTTTGATGATGCATCAAAGAAGATATGCAGGAGAAATTCTCAAGAGGTTTGAGATGGAAGAATGCAACTCAACTTCGACACCTGCAGAACCAAGACTGCAATTGTCGAAAGATGCAGATGAAGATGATGTTGATCCAACCCAATACAAAAGACTTATTGGATCATTAAGATATCTTTGTCATACAAGGCCTGACTTAGCATACAATATAGGTATGGTAAGTAGATTTATGCAGAAGCCAAAGGTATCACATCTAGCAGCAGTGAAGAGGATACTAAGGTATCTCAAAGGAACTTTCGATTATGGCATTTTGTTTCCTGCAGTTGATAAAAGAAAAGAATGCAAGTTAGTGGGATACACTGATTCGAGTTGGTGTAGTGATGCTGAAGATCGAAAGTCAACAGCAGGATATGTGTTTATGCTAGGTGGTGAACTAATTGCTTAGAATTCAAGAAAGGAATCAGTAGTGGCATTATCATCATGCGAAGCAGAATACATAGCTGCTTCTCTTTGTGCATGTCAAGCAACTTGGATGGTGAACTTGGTCGAAGAGATAACAGGGAAAAATCATGAAGCAATTACCATGAAGATAGACAGCATGTCAGTTATTAATCTGGAAAAGAACCCAATAGCACATGGTCGAAGTAAGCACATCGAAATGAGATTCCATTATCTTCGAGAGCAGGTAGCAGATGGAAAGATGAATTTGGAACACTGCAGAACTGAGAATCAGATTGCAGACATCATGACGAAGGGAGTGCAAGTCGAAGCATTCAGAAAGCTAAGAGCCATGATGAACATAGACAGTTTAGAGACAATGAATTAGGTGGTGTGTTAAATTGTAATTCATAGTGTCAAAGAAGATTTGATTTAAATAGATTTGATTTAATTTAATTTAGTAACAAAAAGATATTTTGGGCTTTGGGCTTAGGGTGTAAACTCAGTTATAAATAGATGGAGTAACCATATTTTTAAAAGTAAGTCAAGTAATTCAATTCATTGTAATCACAAAATTTGCAGTTATAAGTGATTAAGAAAGTTTTCCACAGTTTGTGGGTAGAGAGAAACTCTGCAGAAATATTTGTCTTGTCTTCTTTTCTTTGTTTGTCTCATAATTAAATTGTCATTGTAGTAGAAATTCATCATAGAATTTGGTGGATTTCCAACAGCTTGGTGTTTCTCTTGCTGCAGTTGAATCAACAGATCTAGAAGCAGGTGTGTCTAAATAAGTAATTCGTTGCATCGAAATTATATGTAAAATAAAAATTTGAAGAAGAAGAGGAAGCTTACCTAATTTATGCGGTTGAAACGGTGATGGCAGGATGAGTTTTGAAACGGTGGTCAGAGTAGGATTTTGAAATAATGGTGGTTGTAGTTTGGAATAGAGAGAACAAAGAGGAAGAAGATGTATATGGAAGAAAGAGAAAGAGAAAACAAATGAACATTAGAAAAGTGTAGTCTTGGAAAAACGTGACACTGTTCACAAACAATAATTTTGAATTTAAAAAAAAGGTACCTTTTTCAGTTATCATGTTGTTGTACTTGAACTACAGTGTTTGCAAATTGTACACGTATCATAATAAGTATATTTAACATAGAATCAAAAGTATAATTTAATTGCAAAAAATAATTTTTAGATACAAAATACCATTTATTTAATGAGGTGGAGGACAATGACAAACGGTTATTTATGTGTTTTTCATAACACTTAATTTACTTATATTATAGATTTTTGTGTTTATAATAATATGCATTATATAATGTTTCAGCGAAAAAGAATATAATATAGTGTTCTAAATTTACACCTTTTTTCCCCCTAAATATAGAAGAAGCTACCATAACCAGAGTCTATATATATCTTCTCAGACGAAAAAATAATAAAATTCAGTTTGTTTTGTTTGGGAGTAAGAGGAGATTGGAGAAAAGGGAAAAGATGATGATGGTTGATGAAGACGATGAGGAGGAGCATCAGAGGTCAGTGTTAGAACAAGTGTTTGGACCCTCGATATCCGACGATTGCGACGGTAGATCCGATTCCGATTCAGACATGGAGGATCAGCATCAGAGGTCAGTGTTAGAACAAGTGTTCGGACCCTCAATCTCCGACGATTGCGACGGTAGATCCGATTCCGATTCAGATATGGAGGAGCAGCATCAGAAGACGGTGCTAGAAAAAGTGTTCGGACACTCATCCTCTGACGAAGATACCAACGACGTTAGATCTGAATTCGATTTCGATTCCGATTCCAATTCCAATAATTGTAAAGAGAAGAAGAACAATTGGGAACCTATTGAAGAAGTGAAAGGGTTATGGATGTTAAGAAACTTCCTATCAATTCATCAACAATCTCGCTTACTCTCGGCAATCGAATCGGAGCAATGGTTCACACAACCTTCAATCAACCAAGCAATGCGTTTCGGTTATCAAAACCTACCTCATTGGGCTATCAAACTCTCTCATTCAATTCATCGTTCTTGTTCCGAGTCATCTTTTCTCCCACCAAATCTGTTGCAGAGGGAACCGTTGTTTGATCAAATGATAGCAAATTTCTACCAACCAGGTGAAGGCATAGCGCCTCATGTTGATCTCTTGCGGTTTGAAGATGCCATTGCTATTGTCTCTTTGGAATCATCTTGTGTCATGCATTTCAGTTTGGAGGAGCAATCTGTTCCTGTTTTGCTTACTCCTGGTTCGTTGGTTATCATGTTTGGAGATGCTAGGTATCTTTGGAATCATGAGATTAATAGGAAACCTGGGTTTCAATCATGGCGAGGACAATTCTTGAATCAAACTACGCGGACATCCGTTACCCTCAGAAAACTCTGTTCCTCTGCTCCCCCAATCTAAATATCGACCTTTTTTTTTTCTTTTCTCTTGTAGCTATAACTACAGTCTCTTTGTTCATCCAATCCAAAAAGCTATAACTATAGTTTCCCACCTCCAATTGTACCCAAAAAAAAGAAGCAATTTGAGCTGTTGGATGTGTACTTTTGGACAAATCAAGAGTTTTTGTGTAATTTTGGACTCATGAATGAAGTAACTGTGGTTTTAAATTTCGGTGGCTGGTGTTGCAGATATGATCATTGCATTTGTTATATTGATTACATACGCAAATGTGATCATTGCATTTGTTATATTGATTACATGACTAAGGTCTTAAATTGTGATCATTGGTGTTGCAAATGTGATCATTGCGATTGTTTGTTGTTGCTGAATTTTAATTGGGAGGTGCTTGAAGTATGCTTTGCTAGTCTAGCAAATGCGAACATTGCAATGAATTTTAGTTGTTTGAAATATACTGTTAAAAAGCACATAAGTAAGTTGAATTTTGAGATTCAGACATTAATTTTAGTTGAGAGGTGTTTGAAATATATTGTTTAAAAAACGCAAAATTGAGTTTTGAGATTCAGATATTGAGTTTTTAGAAAAATACTTGAATAAACATAGGTGCTCTGTTTTTTTCTCCTTTCTTCAGTTTGGCTAATAAATAAATAAAAGACAAGTAGAAGAACAACAAAATATCATGTTCTCACAATCGATCTCCTTGAACAACCAGTTAAAATGCCAAATACTTGAGAAGATTGTCAAAACTATATCTCTAAGTCATCATTGGTAGCAAGATACTTGACATGAAACCAGCACAGGAGTTTTCTTCTCTAAGGGTGTGAATCACCATAACACTCCAGTACAATTGCAGCATATCCTTCATATCTTGTGAAACTCACGAGCATACTTGTGAAACTCAGAAGCAGCCTCCTTAAAAGAAGCAGTGTAACACACAACATGGGTGAACGTGAACCCCTGTTCTGGGCTAATTGAAGGCCTTGCAGAATGGCAACCAGTTCAGCTGTCACTATGCCGAGTTCCCTATGTAACCGTGTTTTGTCTTGAAGAACAGGTTAAATATTCAAAATCAACTCAATCTGTCCCTTTTTCTTTTAAAATTTTCAATGTTTATTTAGCATTCAAGACAAATTTAATACTATTCTTACAAATGAAATAAATAAAGAACAATTTTTAGTAATATTTTATCTATCGTATTCTATTCTGTATTCTATTATGTGATGTTTGTTTTGGTGCCCATGGTAATGAAATTGACGCTTATATCATCTGATAACGACCATCTTCCTGTTACCGGGTTATATGTGAATCCTGCCATCTCCTCCACCTATGCACAACCAGAAACATGATAAGAACAAAAAAGATAATGAAATGGGACTTGTTTATCAGTTTATGAATTAATGTGTGTTGCTTACATTGATGCCGGCGCGTTGCAGAATCAGAACTAGCTCCTCTGGAGTAAGAAAACTTGACCATTCATGTGTGCCCGTTGGAAGCTGCCATGTTTCAAACATAATGTCACATTGATGGCCACTTTATTCTAAATTTGCATCATAACAAATACTTACTTGTGTACTCTTTCTATCATTATTTTATCAATGTCTAACAGCCTTTGTTATGTTGATTACAATCTTTATGTTTTTTAACATAACGTGTGTGCCAAGATAGATATTATACCGTAATGAAAAGTAGCAAATTTCAGGGATAAGGTACTAAGGTAGAATTTAAAACAGCAGAATGAACTTGAGAAAAATAAAATACCCAGCGGAGGATGTATTCTGCGGCAACAATGGCAGTTGCGTAAGCTCTCATTGAACGATTTATTGTTGATATGATCGTAGCTCCGTCTGGAATTGTTAATGCTGATAGAGATTTGCAGAACTCTGCAGGTTCTGCGACGTGCTCGATCACCTGAGAAAAGATGCACTTCAAATCAATGCTTGGGAACTTAGGTATTATTATTTCACGGTACTAGGAACTATGTGTGTGTGTGTGTGTTAAACCCCAGGTTCATGTAACTCAATATGTGGGCACACAACCACAGGAAGGTGGCAGAAAAAAAGTACCTCCAAGGCCATGACTGCATCAAATTTTCTTCCTTCTTCAACCAGCTTCTCTGATCAGTCATTTTGAAAAACTATTAAAAATTGAGAGTCAAAAAAGACTATGCATAATACCCTAAAACAGAAGGATAACTCTAAATAAACCAGATTAATGTAAGCTATTTCTACAAATGATATCCAAAGCCATAACCAGCATTTAATTTTTTTACGAGGCACGAGTGTATACTTTTCCACAGGCATTTTGCCAAGAAAGAAATCCAGCGGACAGCACAAGTGAAAACATGAAAAGTTACAAGCATAGGAAGGAATAGAGACATGAACGCGACCATCTTCTTTTCTTAGTAAAGAATGTGACTATTTTTTGAATTGGAAACTTACTCTCCTATTTGGGCAGTTTATTACCTAGAAGTATCACACGTTGTTAGATGAGACACACTGTGGGATAGAGAAAGTTATTTCTTCAATGTAAAACCGTACTAAAGACAAAATAAGATCAAAGTGCAAATAAAGGTTTTCCTAACAGTCAACATTCTCTTTTTGACTTTTCCACAACCAAATATAGATTCTAAGTTAACATAAATTGGTTATTTATTGCAAGTTGCAGCAAGAAGTTAAGAACCAGAATCACAAATACTACTACTGACTACCAAGTGAAAGATAATTTGTAGAATAATATTTGATCATTTTGGTGCCAACGCATCTTAACTTCAGAACTTTCTCAAACCTCGGGAAAGACTACTTCAAGAATTAGGTAAAATGATATTTACACTAGTCGGCTTTGTACTTGTTACTAAGACTGTGCACCAAATTTTTAGATTAGGAAAAGTAGGGCAGGCAGTAACAGTCACAAGTGGGATAGCTTCCAAATGGAAACAGATTTGAAGAATGCACACCATGGATGCGGAACAAAAGTATTCAAGAATATTTGTCTCAAAATTATGATTTGCATACTTACCAGCTGTTGTGCAACAAAATTCAATAGTTGAAGTTGCTGGATCTGATTCCTGTGGACAGGAACAGGGAACAATAAGTGGTTCAGCTAACAGTGAAGATATAATGAACTAAATTTACTAAATATTATTAGTTAATAATAGTAAAATCAAGTATTCAACATCTGCTTCCACCAATTAACAGCAATCTAATCAATTAGGTAGGACCCTACCGACAAATTTAAAATTGGAAACAATCATTACTAAAAACCAATAGTCAACTTATACACTAAGCATACAGCATGAAGTCGAGCAATGTTGATATTCTTTTCCACAGCATCAATACCCGTCACAGTAGCTCCCATCCGAGCTAATGGCTGAAACAGAGGAGATGCATAAGCAAAAATAACAATAAAAATAGCATTCTTTTGCAATTAAACACAATTAAGATTCTTAATACTCTGCAAAAGAGAGCCATGAGAATACACATCAAAGGATTTATATTCTACATATCAAGCTAACAAATATAGCTATTAACACATCACTGTGCTACAGATTCCTACGAGGATCACGATAAAAAGGGAAAACGTCTTTTTTCAAACAAGAAAAGGGAGAAGATGTATACCTCGGAAAGAATTCCACCTCCACAGCCCACATCAGCAATTTTAAGTCCTTCAAGGGGCTTAGCACTGTAAGGGTCCTTCCTGAGACAAGGGACGTTTAATTTTTGTCCAAATAATACCCCAAAGAGACAGTATAATTATGTATAGGAACTTGTTACATTGTTATAGATTGCAGAAGGCCAAAAATCCGTTACTTTACGCTGTCATTTTCCACCATAAAAAGTCATGAACCGCTATCCCTTACAAGCTGGCCAAAAATCATCCATGGCTTCTATTTGATAACACCTATTATTATCAATAATAGCTATTTTCCTTATGTTTCTCTTATCATTTCCTCATTCAGTTTACATAAAAAATAAACATTTGTGACACTTTTTGCTGATAAAAATCTCACATGAGTTATTTTGTAAGATTAAATTAAACTCTAGAAGTTTACTTATATCACTCACTAATTGTTGGCACTAAACCAGATTTCTAGCTTTGTATTTGTATCACAATCATCGAGTTCTACGGATTCAATAAGTTATAACAGCTACAAAAATGACAGTGCTATCTCAGACAGCGTAGCAAATTAGGCTTGGTGTATAATGGCAACAAAGTTAGCAGTGACTTAGTATCTAACCCAGCACAGCCAGATCATTATGTCTTATAATTTGCGAAATCCCATGAGTAAAAGAACCGAATTAAAACACACTACACATTATAACTAATGAATTGAAAAACACAAACATAAAAGAGGTTGCTTACTTGAAATGTCGACACAATGCAGACCGAACGAAAGCAAGTCTCGTAGGATTCATCACATGTAATGGTTTAAAAGGGCCATCAGAATCCCACCTATTTTACATAGGTCATTAAAAGGGAAAAAAATATAAACATTATTCATATTTTCTTACTATAACAACCACCTAAACCCATAAGCTTCCAATTCTTATTTTTCCTATACATTAGTAGAAAAAGATAGTAACATTCGTAATCTCTGATTGCAAAAATAAAAACCCAGTTCCCAATTCAGTTTTGTTTAATCGATTCAGGATTCGATTCGTATGAAGCAATCAGAACCAAAATCAGAAGTGAATTGAGAGCTCTCACCAGGATTCAGCAATGGCGGCAAACTTGGCGAGTTCATTACGGTTCAAGGAAGAAGGAGGTGAAGGTTGTTGAACGTGTGGAGTGGTGGGTTCTTGAGGCAATGAAGATTCGGAGAAGAAGTTGGTGGTGTTGAAGAGAGGGTGAAATCGATTACGGAGAATGCGGTGGTGAGTGTTTAGGTTTCGGAGATGGTTGAAGAGTTTCATGGTTCCGCGGGAAAGTGCGGTGTTCTTCTTCGCTTTAGCAATTAAGCTTTTGGGGTTAGAATCATGGCTTGTATAGCTTTTTAGAATTTGATTTTGATTTGGGCTAAAATTATTCGTCTTCAAAACTTTAAATAAATATTTTGGTTCTTTAAATATTTTCTAAGTCTTTAGAATTGGAAAATAACAATTTAGAAAAGTCATATTTATTATATTCATTTAGACTTTTTTTACAACGAAAAACAAAAGCAAAAGAAAACAAAAATTAAATTCTTGGAAAATTAAAGTGTGATTTGGGAGATCCTGTTAAATGTGTCTAGCTTTGTCATGTAATTTGATCTTAAATAGTCGGATTTTGCAATGCAAATTGGGTATGCTCATCCATTGTAATGTGCTCTATTCATTGTGTATTTTTTTGGAGGAAATTTTATATCATGGAAGAACTAAAATGTGGTTGTAAGGTCTAGTGCAAAAGTTAAACAAGAGTTATGGTTGCAGACAAATATGAGCTCATTTGAATTAGACAACTTTTTCATAAATTGAAATTTAGAGATACTTAACAAATGAAATTTTATTGTGATAACCAGATAGCACTACATATAACTTTTAATTTAGTGGTTCATGAGCGAATTAAATATATTAAAAAATTGATTGTTATTTTGTTTAAGAGAAGAAAAAAATTATAGAGGTTGTCATCGAATCTCTTAGTTCCAAAATTCAATTAGCATACATCTTCACAAAATCCTTAATGGAGGCAGATATTTAAAACAAGTGTTTTAAGCTTGAAACATTTGATTTATATGGTGCATCTTGATGAGAAGTGTTGGATTATAAAATAAATTGTAATATGTTTGGAAGATTATTAACTTATTAAATTCTTAGTAAATTACATTCACTATAAATAATATTTAGTGTATGTTTTGTTTAATTTTTGAAATAGTTAAAAGCAATTCTATAAGTGGAGAATTGATTTTGAATAATTTTGAGGTGTTTTGTTCTTCTAAAGTATAGTTGATTCCGTCTAGAATTGATTATACTTAGTTAGAATTTATAGATGTTGACTGTAAACGTGATTTTTACATTGAAAATTATTATTCAACTCATTTCTATATAAATTTATTCAAACATAAATCATTTTTTTCTACTCACTTTTAACTAGAATCAATTTTACAAAATCAATTCATTCAAATTTAAAGAGGAAGATAAAGAGGTTGTGCATGTGAGTGTCTTAATTGAAAATTTCAATCTCAACGACATATTTAAATATAATGGTTAACATTGGTTCATCTCATTCTCATATAAGATAAGGCATTGATAAGTGGATAACAATCCAAAATAACCGAAATAAAGAAAGGAAAATAGATTATCATACCTCTAAAGAAAAGCAAGATATTGTAATGGAAATCATTTGAAGAAAAACCCACACATAGATTGCCAAAATACTACAACCACTATCCTAAATGAGGAATAACACACCCTAAATGTGTTATTACCTCGGGTAGAGGAATGATTTCATCAACCACTCATGGAAAGTGAAGAATTAGTCATAAGTACTATCAATATACCATTTTCAATCATGGAATATACTTATATCCCCCAACTCTTCAATTGTCACAGACATATCGAAAAGATAAGATCAGTCAGGGATTTCTGAATGACCCACACCAGAGAATGTCAAACTAGGGTCATACCAACTCAAATCCTAAACTTATTTTCTTAGGATCTTGGAAACCTGAACAATATATAAATATGGTTAGGTAGAAATATTTCTCACCATATAGTCATCTAAATATCGCATACCACAAACTAGTCACTGCCCAAAGCTAACAAAGAGGATAAAAAATATTATATGAATCCTTGGAAGAAATCACAAGAGATATCATTTGGATATATTAAGATATAATATCTAAATAGATTTTGCCTCAAAGGGATCCTATCTCGAATAACTTGTCAAGAAAAGACTATCACTTTGAAGGGTGCCCAATTATTCAAGATTAATGGCAGGAGAAGACCAACTTCATTAAATGTGATTTCCTCTTTAAGTCTATAATAAAGGAGAACAACATAGGATGAGTTTACCAAATAAGTGTAATCTTTACCATAATGTTGCCTCATGTCATCCCAATTGTGAGAAAGGGTAATAACTTGAGTCACTAGAAAGATATTATTAAGCAGCTCAAGTTCTTAGACAAACAACTCTCTTCTCCACTTAAAGTCTCAAACTTATACCTCATTTTCCCAATGACCCATAAACCTAACCTTATGTTCTTGCTGGGAAAAAAATGAAAAACTATAGGGAAAAAAGTTCTCAAAAGGTTTGTCCCTTTCTAAAAGGCATCCCATAAAGAAGTGAGAAGACCATTTTCAACCTTCCTAGACACACTACCTATATACTAGTCAGAAAAAGCATCCTGATTGGAGTCTAGGAGAACTATACCCTTCCACTAATTAAAAGAATTTCTAAAACCAACATCCCTTCCCTCAATAAGGGAGGAAGCCTTGTGATTCTTGTATCTCGTAGAAAAGTTCCATGCCAAAGAATAGTGGCATCCAATTGATAAAGTGAAGATTCCAAACACCTAAATGTGAGACCATGTAACCCAAGAAACTTTAGAAACACTTTTCTACCCACAAACCTCAGCTAGAGTCTAAGAATCATCTTTCAAACCTAAAACGACATATTTGAAAAATAAAGAGAGAAAATATGGATCGAGTCCAGAATTGTATAGAGATGAACCACTCTCCCGCTTAGAATGACAAACTAGTAACTCTTAGAAAGAAGCTTTCAAGTCATAATATTAATTAGAGGCTCTTGGATAGATTGGAAGTGAAGATTAATGAATAATGATAACAAGTAAAATTTTACTATATAAATAATAAATATTTAGATTGAACATTCTCTAACTTTTGTAAATTTAACCTTTAAATTTTTTGTGAATTTAATGTTTGTGAATTTTATAGAAAACGAGCATTCAATTTTTTGTTGTGTATTCTCAACTATTTTAATAAGTATACATATAGTTATAATGTATTTCAATTGAGATGGCATAAGAAGATAAATGTTTTTACTTTTTGTTTCTATAGAGATAAAGACAAAGGTAAAATCAACTCAAACACTCCACGGGCCCGTGGATGTAGATTATGGTTAAGGGTGTTCACGGTGTGGTTTCGGCGGTTTTAAAGCATAAAATCACCCGAATCTCAAGAGAGAAAAATGTGCGGTTCGATTTGATTTGGTTGGCTATTAAAATAAAATTGAATCAAACCAAACCAAACTAATACGGTTTGAATTGGTTCGGTTGGTTTAGTTTTTTACAAAAAAATTATTGAGCCTATTGACTGGGATTTTCGACAAGGACCAAAACCCAACCAAAAGAAAGGGATAAAAAAGGTTCTTTAGAAGAAAAAAAGATTTATGTGATTTGACTACAGACGTGGTCGACCTAGGACTCGGGGAGATTCTACAAGTATTCGACTACTGATGCAATCGACCTAGAGAGATTCTACAAATAAATGATTGGGCCTGAAAATAGAAGCAGTCGGTCAGGGAAGACCTCATAAGTCATTAAGCCCAGAAACATCAAAAGGCCTAAAAGATCCATCAAGGAAGTGAAGCGTTTTGGAGGGAAACAGGGAGAACGTGGGTTCGAGAGTACGAATGGAGAACGTAGGATTATGGAGAGGAATTACAAGATACACGTGGCATGCAAAGAGGCAAAGACCGATAGAAAGTAGTTATTTTTGTATATTATAAATAAAGCACTTAGTGCATAGTATTAGGGGTTCAAACTTTCATATTCCATACGCTAGTCACTCAGAGTACTCAAACGAACAAGCGAAATGAGTCAAGCTATGGTAATGTATGTTTGAATCAACTTATTTTCATCTATTTTGATATTATGTCATTTATGTTTACAGTTTAAAACCCTTTCCGTTTTATTTTACGAGTCTTGCTTTATTGCTTATCAACTCGTTTGGCACAAGTCGAACAGATCTTTTTTTTAACACACTTTGTGAAAATACTCAAAAATTTAAGCATTGTATTGAGATTCCCTGGTCGATCTCACCAATAAACTTTTGTTAAGAGATCAGTGTTGTTTACCAAAACTAGAGGTAAACAAATTGGCACACCCAATGGGACAATGCTAATAATTATGTATTGGTGTTTTATTTTACAAAGTTTCTTGTAGTTTAGTTTGTGTGTGTTTGAGTTTAAGAAATGGTAAACATTTGTCAAAGTCTAAAATGTCACGCTCTGACACAAACACTGCACATACCCAGATTTCTACACAAAATATGGATATCATACCAATGAGTTCCATAACTCAAAGCGTGATGGTTTTCTCTCTTGTGAGATTGACCATTGATCATGGTTTAGTGACAATAGTCACAACGAAAAAACCTAGGCATGGGGTATCACCATTTGACCCAAATTGACCACTCTTTCCAGGAGGTCCAGGGTCATCATTTATCCCTTATCAATATGGTATGCCTTTGTCCATGATGGTTGGGTTACAGTCGAACTCATCCACTGAAGTTGTGAAGAAAATGCAAGAAAATGGAGGTTTGAATTGGGTTTTCCTTTATTGAATAACTTTCGCTTCTAAGCATTATTCGTTGAACAATGCTTCTGAGTGTTACTTCTAAGTAATACTTCTAATTAAGTTAAGAAAACATAAACTCTAAAGCATAAGCAAAAGTAAAGAACACATGATATATCCTGGTTCACTTGAGAAACCCCCAAGCTAGTCCAGTCCACCCTACCAAGGTGATTTCGCCTTGAACTCAAGGACTTAATCCACTATAACCAATCTGATTACAATCGAACGGGAAACTGTTGATGACTAACATCCAATGACGCATTCAGGGATCCAAACCAGATATAACGTTCATTGACCCAATAGAATCTGATCCCTCATAATCTCCTACTAGGATTTCTTTCCAATGATATCCATCAGTGATCTCACAAGATTGACCTTCACTCAGTCCCCTTTGAGATATGA